TATTCCCAGCAAATATTAAGAACATTTAATCTTTTGGTTTAAGAATGAACCTAAATCAATCAATCAATCAGTGAATATTATGCATTATATATATAAGCGCGATTATCAGTAATATATTGGTCATATATGATTATCAGTATATTGTAATGATTTAGTTCTGAATAAATTCAGAGATGATGAGGAAGCCCCTTACCAGTCAGAAGCCCTCTCGGTTTCAGTCCTGCCTGTTCTTTGGACTATTCAGTTGATTGTGAAGTAAACTCACTGCCTCGTGCTGCATCTCTGCCTTTCCCCCTCGAACCTGTGGCTCTTACCAGCTTGCCTGGTCGCTGAGTTCATGGGATGGCATGTCCCTGGTGGTTCCATATGGACCCATGGCCCAGCTGGAGTCTAGCTGGAGAGCGGCCTTCCATGGGGCAGCTCCGTTTTCCTGCGTCTCCCTGCGGGTGGAGCTCGGGAACACATCGTGACTGTGCATTTGACTTCCGGAAGCGTTCCTGCCCAAGCCAGAAGCCCAGCATTTATTGGGGGATGCGGGGGGCGGGGTTGGTCTATTTGTTTTTAGTACATGGCTTTATTCTATTACCCACTTTATCTTTTATTGTTCACCGCTCCAAAATCTCCATTAAAAGTTCTGTGAATGCATGCATGCATGCAGCTGTGTTTGCTGGCTAAAATTTTTCCTTCAGGACTCTCAGCCACTGTGCCATCAGCTCTTATCACGTATTCTTTAAAAGTTTTACCAGCTTGTCTAAAAGGCACCGTGTGCAAGATACTACTGTCATCTTCCATAGATAAAGGAAACAATTTAAAGGCTAAGTGTTCTGATGGATGTGCTGCTAATTTCTTTCTCCGGCAATTGATCAATTTTTAAGTACACTGGAACTTCCATTATGCTCCCTAATGGATGCTTGTGTTGTTAGCAAACAGGAAGCGGTAACAGGGCTGATGAGTGTCTGCAACTGGAATTATAATATAGTGCAAATAAAAAGCACTTTATTTGTTCTACAGTTTACATAGCTGCCAATAGAATGGTATTAACTCTCAAAATGCTTCTTCCAGGTTGTGGGAAGATTTTGTAATTAAAAAAACCCCCAAACCAAACCCTAATCAGATTTAAAAGCTCAGCGACAGAGCTCCCCTGTTCCTGCAGAAGTTCCCAGAGTCAGTTTCTATCAACTCCAGATAAAGCAACCAGGTAGCAGGAGGGGTGGAAAGTACACATTGCTGAAGCCTTGAGGGGCCACTGCCGCGCTGGGTGAAACAGTCGTCCAGCATAGCTTAAGGCAGCTTTCACATGCCGCTGTTGTCACCGCTGCGGCCAAGCACTGTTTTCCCATGTGGCTTGAAGTTTGGGCCCCCAAGCCAGACTTCCTTCTAGAAGCTCCAGGCTCTGTGGCAGCCACCTCTTGGGACAATGCCCTGGGGTGGCGAACAGGCATCTGGAAGTTGCAGCCATTGACCACTAAATTACCACAGAATTAGCTCTTTCAACACATACGGTCTTCTCGAAGTCATGGCACCAGGCTGTGAGCGTTTGACTGGAGAAGAGGAACCGAACTGGTTCTTTTCAGGTTTCTGCTCAAGGTTGGAGACGTTGGGGAACCCTCACAGGTTGTGCAACACCAAAAGAAGTTCACCCCTGGAGTTCTAGGACCCATATCTCTACCCAAACATACGGTTTTAGATTCACTAGGGCATAGACTACCATCTTTTTAACATCTCACTGAACATGGAAATGAACTTAGGAAGGAACAGTGCTAAACTAACTTAGCAAAGCATACAGATTCCTGTGCTCGAACCTTTAGGTTCAGGTGAACATTATTAAAGGAACAACTTCTGTACTCAGTCAGTTGCTTTCAGTGTATAAAAAGAGTCCCATCAAAGAGGGGTTCTCAAGAGAAATGAATCTGGGAAATCCCCATGTGATTTCATGGATCTCCCCTGTGATGGAGCACATTTAAACAATCGCTTTCAGAGTAAAAAGCATGTAAGCAGACTAAAAGCCAGGTGTATATTTCTGAATTATCCCTGTGTCTCTCCATCTGTGTGAATGTGGGCCAAATATTGAGACTGGTTGCTCTCTTTTTACGGCCTCACTTAATGGAGATTCTACCAGTGGGGGAGGTAGTGACTTAGACTGGATTGCTGCTGCTACTTTTAAAATAGTGGGACATGATTAAGCACGTACTAAAAAGTCCATTTAGTTTGTTTTTAGGTCCGAGCTGGGAAATAAACATTTTTATGACATATCAGTTTGGGGCTAAGCAAGTTACGCGGTGTTTATTTTACAGCATTGAGCAAGCATCTGAGGTGTTGAGACTGCTTGGAAGCATAACTGCTCAGGAATAAATTCTCCACAGCCTGACTCTTGTCTTAATTCACCGGGAGGTGCTGGGCCCAGATTTAAGAGGCTGTAACTGGTTGGGCTTGGAATGGACTTTTTGGAATGGACTTGAAGCCTGCAAACATTGACTTGTTCTGTTGCAGCTCGGAGAAGATGTCTCTTTTGTGGCAGACTAATCTCTATTGATTTATATGGCAAATGTTCAGTTATGTAGAACCTTCTGCAAATATTTTAATGATTTTCAACAATGTGTGACCGCATCAAGAAAACAAAATCGAATAAATAGACTAGCAGCATCCAGAGAACCATGAAAGCAAATTTTGTGAGGTGAAAGGGACTCAAAACTTATCCTTCCCCTAATATAGCAGCCTCCTCCTCTCTTTCAAAGGCCACGTGGCAACTAAGGGAAGTCTTAGTAGAATGGGATGCAGAGTTTGGTGGTCACAGGGAAGATTGGGCTGGCACGGTCTCTTGGGTGACCCTACGCAGCTTTCGAACCCCAAACATGAATTCACTCAGTCCTTGGTCGGTCCTGGTCACTGCCACTGTTACATTTACTGCACTAATAACTGGCCTAGACTTCTTCGATATAGATTTTCTACATAATATTTCCTTTTTAAAAAGTGGCTGTGAATGCCCTTTCCAAAATAAACATTTCCTTTATGATGTAACAAAATCTTTCCTTAAACTAAAAGGGTCTGTTGTTTATTACCCTGAGCCATTATTTATTTATTTAGAAAGCTTCTATGCCGCCCCATTTGCCGACTCACGACACCTCGGGGCGGCTCATTACATTTCTTTTACCAGGAGTTTCCTTGCAACTAAAGTATACAAGCATAACAAATGAGTGAGCAAGCGTCTTCTGGTTTAAAAAAAAAAGAGCTTCTGATCAGGACAGGTTGGTAACTTAAACAGGCTTTCCAAGAATTTATTCCTTGGCTCATCAAATAAGAAGCATTTCAGCATATTACATTTTCTGATTCCAACCAGAAATACAGAGCAATGGGGAGACAGGAATATATTTCTGTTTGCTATCCAACATGGCAGAAGGCTTAAGTGGCACACATAGTTCAGGAAAAATGTGCCAGGGAAAGAATGTGAAATTTTTGAGACAGCTAGGAAGAATTTATATTACGCAGGATCCTCATATCCTCTCCAGTTTGCAAAGCCAAAATCTTTGGACAAATTATACACTTACAGTAGATTATAAATAATACCACTTTGATTTTCCATTCCATTTGAAGAAAAAAGTCTCTTCTAGCTCTTCATCGGCATCAAGTTTCTACAGTTATGAAATAATAGTGTTACTTGTAGCCTCTAATTGAAGGCAGCAGCTCAAGGAGCAGTTACTAAAATCCCAGGGAGAAGTACTAATAATTCCAGTGGAAATTGATTCTGTTTTATTCCATTGCTTTAATGTGGGCTTCCCCAAGCTCATAGGAGTTACAATCGAGCACATCTGGTGGGGGCCAGGTTAGGGAACACTGTTTTAATGCATTTAAATTATTACTTCATATCCAAACCATACAATAAACGAGAAAGTATTTGCCTAGATTAATTTGGAATTGTACATGCTTGCATGAAATAGTGTCAAACTAATTCCACCCATTTGCTTGGGCTTTTGTGGTGTTTGACACTCTGTACTTCCAGAATGTATTCTTTTCAATTTTTTTTATTCTTGATTATTATCTTTGTATATCCATGAAATTTGTGTGCTTGCGTGTGCGTGCATTGCCTGCTTATGTTTATAGGTATTTTTTTAACGTGTGCAATATTGTATTTTTAAGGTTTGAACCTTTGTAAACCTCCCACAGAACTTTGGCTTTTGAGAGGTATAGAAATGTAATGAATGGATGTTGGACTAGATGAAATGTTTTCTTTTGGTTTACTTCTCGTATGATAGCAGATTTTTTATTCTTGAGAGATCAGTAGAGGATTTTCTGGGGCTAGGTATCAGCAGTCAGGGATAGGGAAGCAGAATGAAGTATGCCTATTAAGCAAATACGTGCAGTTGCTTTGCATCGTGGGACATAGTGGAGGGGAAGTGGAGTGCTTATTTGGATAATACTAGCAGAGGAGAAAGTAGCGACTTCTGAGTTTAGAACTACCCTGCACATATCCAGCTGTATATTTATTTGAGGGGCATATTCTGAGGAGTGCCTAAATGGATTTAAGATGTACCTTTTTAAAAACTAAGAATAGGTATACTTGGATAGAATCCTTGGTAATTTAGCAAGCTTGCAAGCATTGGACTTGGGCAGAGCAGCCTTTCCTTCCTGTGCAAAATGTGGGCATATGATGTGATGGCCTTGCCTTCTGGAATGTCACGGTCAGGGAAAGCTCCACAGCAGAAATGTGCTTTTTGAAGAAAGGGGTGGCAATCCAATAGTTACTCAAGACGCAAGAGTTACCATAGCTGCATTTATTTAAATCCCTCTGTTTAGAAACAGCCATGTGCAGATACTTAACTTCTTTAATAACAGGATCGATTGCTATTAGGTTGAAATTAATGGATGTGGTCTAGGGCAGGAGAGCCTCGGCACTGAGAGGTGACAGGTTGGTAGAACTATAATTGGGGTTTCTATAAATAACAGACGAAAACCACATGTACATACTGGCATTTGTCCATGGGGTTGGGGTATGGCTTGTCCTTTTCATTCAGCTACACATAGCTGACCTGTTCTTCTGTTTTGTCGGCTTCATTCTCTGTAAGTAGTAGAGTATCCAGTAGAATCGCCGATGAGGATTGGATAGGTGAACTGCAAATTCTATGACTTTGGTACATTACTGGGTTAATCCCATTCCGCATTCCATGATTCATCATAAAAATCTTCGAGTTCTCTGCCATGGAATGTCTGAATGAGAGCCTGCTGGAGCATTTCCGAAGGGCATTCCCAGGAGTTGAGGCCTGATAATTGCAAGTCATGTACCTTCCAAACGCTTCCCTGAATGTCTTATTGAACAGGGTATAGACCAGTGGATTTACCCCTGAGGACACGTAGCCTATCCAAACAAATATCTCCATAAGAGTTTGGATAAATTCCTCACTGCAGGATTTGCAGAGAACAGAAGTGATATTGGTTATGAAAAATGGGCACCACATCAGCAAGAAGAGGAAGAACACAATCCCCAAGACTTTGGAAGCGCGTTGTTCGTTAGTGATCGTCTGCATCGACTTCTTTCCAACTGTGGACACCCTGCGCATGGGTTGCTCTTGACTCCCATTTGGCAACGGCTTGTCCTTCCTAGCGCTGTCCAGCATGGCTACCTTCTCCGGCGATGATCCCGATGTCACGTCCCGCTGAAATACCGTGGACACGGAACCCCAGGTCAAACGCGGAGGCGGTTTGTTGATCAAGTAGGCCTTCTTGTGCAGAACTCGGATGGTGAGAAAGTAAGTGACCACCATGATGGCCAGTGGGACAAAGAAGGCTGCTACTGAGCCATATAGGATAAAGTCTCCGAAGCGTTCCGGCTTCAGCACACAGGTGAAATTCGGAAGGTTTTCACCTCCTTCTTCTATGCCACGGATTGGGATTGGAATCGCAATACCTGGAGGGGAAGCAGAAATCCAGTGACCTTGACTGGCAGCTAGAAGAGTGGAGCACTGGGAAGGACTTGTGCATGCATCCCCCTCGCCCCAGTGTCTCTTCTGTGTGCTAGTAGGAGCCAAAACAATATAAAGCAAATAAAGAAGGTGTGTGAGGAGCCCACATCTGGCGGCGGCAGCCCTGCCCTCTGACATCTGCCTTGTTCCAGAGATTTAGAAGTAAAGTAGCAGTTAGATTAGCTGAGGTCTGGGGAGAAACTTATATATACTTTTAACCATCTTTAATGGCTCTTACCTGTCCTCTAGATGCTATAAAGGCACTTGTAAAACTTTGCTTTACAAGTCTAAACAGTCTAAGACCTACAACTTCCAACATGCTTTCCCCCATAGCGCGCCCCTTGCTTGGACTTGTAGGGCCTTTCTGTCTAAAGATGCACAGGATTCCGCCCCAAGTTCTGCCTTGAGAACTTAGGTTAAGAATGTCCTGATGTTGGTTCCTAAATGCTGGAGTGAGTCTTGGACATAAAATTGCAGTTGCTGTGGCTGCCCAGCATTAAAGAGAGATTCTCTTGTGCCCTGGGGGCATCTCTAGTCCAATAGCTTATAGCCAGCCAGCTCTTCAAGACCCCATTTCCAACTCAGTGCTTCCCAGAAACATCGGTCTATAGCTGCTGGCTGGGTGATCAAGGGCATTGTCATCCAGCACACCTGGAGGTTCCTGGACTGGAGAAGGCTGACCAAATATCAGTAGTCAGGTGAACGCGTACATATTGCAATGATCAGGAGAAAGGTCCCATTTGGCCCTGTATCCTGTTTCCTGCTCAAGCAGCCAAGTGTCCCAAGAACTCTCACCAAAAGCGCCTGTAGGCATCTCTCCATTATTTGTCCCAAGTCTCTGAAACTCAGAAGTGCATGGCACTGACCTTGGAGGACCCATGGCCAGAACCTGAAAGGAGGCCTGCTGGATCACATCACAGGCCCACCAGACCATCCGTGTGACGTCCTCCAGCCCCTCTAAATCTGTGGGAAATTACAGTTCAGAGACAGGACGTATTTCATAAGTGGTAGGATTGCGATAAGGGCTGCTTTTGATTGATGCCACTAAAATAGTTATTTTCAGAGGGCTCTGCCTTGCTTTGGCTTCCAAAGTTGCTTATTGTTTCTTCTAATTGCCAGAAGCATTGTTAAATGGCCTCATATAGGAAGCAGTTTGTTTATCATGGGTGTAGTCATTCACCAAGAAGATGATCTGCTTTCTCAGACCTGCATTGTCTGTAGAATGGCCAGCCTGAAAGTCATTTTTATTCTTGACAGCCGTGCTGTACAACTGAGTCTGTGTTGCCTGCTTCCCATGGTTAGTAGCCCCGCCAGCCAATAGTCTGGCGTTGTTGATCCATTTCCTTCCAGGCACCTATTTTTTCTGTTGCCTGGTGTTTACATTGTACTCACAAACCCACTAGATGTTAACAAGGAGGAATAGACCTTCTGCAGAAAGTCACAAAAAAGCACCGCTCAGTTGCACATCATTAGCCACTTTTGCTCTCTGTGCTTTGGGAGGCCCTGTCTCTCGTCATCTGTTGCATCTCGACGCTAAAGTCCTCGCCCATCTCTTTCTCCACTGTCCTGTGAGGCGGCTGCAGTGAGCGCATGGCTTTCCCAAGGCTGGAGGCCCCGGGTAAGTCATATGAACCCGCTGGGCTGAGAACATGGCCTCCTGACTATCACACGTAAGGCTGCTGCTGCTGTTCAAAGCCCCCACTTCCATTTCAGGGGCAGAGAAGGGAGGCTTCCCTTGAGGGAGAGCACAGAGGCAGGCTCTCGCTCTGCAGGCCCTTCCTCAGCCGCACACGGTTGCTCCCCTGGCCCACCTGTGCGTTTGGACCAGTTCTTGGCAGGCAAGAGCCCCTCCTTTGGCGTTTGCCACTTACCTATTGAGATTAGCCACACAACCGTTATTTTGATGAGTGTCGTAGCCCGAGAGTTGTACTGACTGGCTTGGATGGGCTTCTTTATGGCAATGTAACGGTCCAGTGAGATGGCACAAAGATGCATGATGGATGCGGTGGAGAAGAGGACGTCTAGAAAGAGCCAGACGGGGCATAAATCCCGTGGAAGAGGCCATGCGATCTCTGAAAGAAAATGGAAAAGCATAGTTGGAGCCGAAACGGAGTCACTGAAAGTTAACTGGGGCTGCAGCTGAAAAACAGGCTCTCAGTACTATGTATTCTTCATCAGGTATAAATGTTCAAAGATAACATCATCATTTAAAGCTTTTTACTGAGAGCATGAATGCCAAAGCCTGTCATTTTGGATCTCATGTACGATGTTTCCTATTCCTCAGAGCCAACATGTCGCTATCGGGATCCTGCACTTTAATAAGGCCGTGAAGGAACATTTTGTACAGGGTGCTTGCGGAATTTCTTTTGCAGGCTCCCTCATCCAGCTCCTTCCAGGTGTTTTGGACCAACATCTTGTTTGCCCTGTTCTTCTCCATGGGGCATTTTTTGGGGGGAGGGGGCAGCAGGCAGGGCCCACTTCTTTCCTGGCAAGTCCCATTAACACAACTTTCTTCATGCTCATCTCTGCCTTGGTTTCTAGAGTAAGTGATCAAATTCAGCCTAGGCGCCACTGATTGGCCATCCATGAAATGGTGCCTGAACAGGCAGCCTTTTTCACTGAGGTCGTATATTTAATTAGACTGCCGTTGGGGGCTGCAGAATGTTTTCATCACATAAAGATCAGTGTAGTCCTTAAGCATTTAGTGAAGTTCCACATTGTCATTTTCTCATTATTTAACTAGGTATGCTTGCATACAGTCAGATAATAACAACCCCATAAATACAAACCGAACCCCTATGAAACAGCTTTCAAAAAGCATCTGTGTGGGTGTCATGAGAGTTGTCTGTGCAAGAAAGAAGAGGGGAGTGTGGGGGTGAGAGAGGATATGTGGGGCAGCAAGAGCTTGAAGACCACCACCCACCCTTTTCTTATGAAAGGCAAACTCTCTTTGTCTGTCTATGTTGGGGGGTGTTCTTCCCCAAAGAATGGGGTGGAGTGGGCTCTGTCCCTGCCTGCTATCTGCTCCAACAGATTTGCTACAAGGTAATTCAGCCGTCAAAGGGCTGGAGAAAAAGTGCCCACTCCTGCTCGAAAGTGTCAAAATGGTGTGACGATATTAAAATAAATGATTCCATTCACAAAAAGATCTATTGTACATAAATGTGAGAAGCCTTATTTTTCTGCATGTTTTCAGGGAAAAGAAAACTTAACATTGAAAACATAAAAATCGCTGCAAGTATTGGGGCAGGTGTTAAATGTTCCTTCACAAAACTTTTTATTTATTTATTTATTTATTTATTTATTTATTTATTTAAACAGCTTATATGCTGCCCCCATCACATAAGCCTTGGGGCGGCTTACAATCATCAAAATCCTGCATATAAATACAAAAAAAATTTTTTTTAAAAAATTCATAGAATAAATAAAATACATAAAATAGTGGAAACAGCCTGGTCAGTTTAAAATCAACAAATAAACCTTAACAATTAAAATAGCATTTAAATAAAAAGGTCTTGGCCTGGCGCCGAAAAACAAATAACGACAGCGCCAGGCGGACCTCTCTGGGGAGCGCATTCCATAGGTTGGGCACCACCACAGAGAAGGCCCTCCTCCGAATACTCACCCTCCTAATATCCTTCACGAAGGGTTCCCGGAGAAGGGCCTCTGCCGCCCATCTCAAGGGGCGGGAGGGCATCTTTTGTGAACTAACTGCAAAATTCTAGTAACAGCATAAACTAGATTGTTAAATGTTTGTCAGGTCAGGGTTTACCTTAGCACTGGAAAATTATGAACAAGGAAGATTAAAACATATTTGCAAAACTGGTGTTAACACTTGCAGTTGCATTGGAATCCTGAGTGTGGCTGAGTGACCTTCAGATTGTTTCTAGATCTACCCCCTAGACTCATTCCTGGTTGATTAAAAATGATGAGGTGTCGAACCTGTTTCTGGACCACGTGGTTCAGTGTTCTGACCCTTGTAGAAAAATACCTGTACCTAGAAAAACCCTGGTATGCTAGTTTTCTATCTAAAGAGGTTTGTTTTGTCTTTATGGGGGAAGCTAACTAGTTTACCAGCGATCAGGAGTGATGCAATCCAGGTCTCCCACTCCTGGTGCTATTTGTGTGGGTAGCAATGTACCCTGAAAGATGCAGAGCCCTGCAGGCTTTCAGACATACTTAATCCTTCTGTACTCAAGCTCTAAAATTTCTAAGTAGAAGCCATACAAATTCCACATAGTAACTCCTCCCACGTAGTTACTATGCTCCTGGTTCTTGGTCCTGCAGATGTGTTAACGATGGTCTTTCTATTGGAATTTGGCAGTGCCATCATGCTATCAAGCCCATATAGGAACTATTTGTTATGCAGTGATCATACACCTGTAAAGGGAGGAGTGTATTTTCCCCTGTGACAGCAATGCCATGTTTGCATATTGGTCAAAAACACTGGAAGATGTTTTTCCTTTTCTAAATTGTCCGCATGTAAAACAAAGGAGGAGGTGACATATTGAATAGACGACGGGATGTCAAACAAAGCTTTTCTTGACTGTCTCAGGCTTTTGAAATCTCTTTCCCAGAGAACGGTCATGCCAAAAGAAATAAAAGTGTCAAATAACCATTTGAACCGGTGCATTTGAACCCCTAAGATCTGGCAGAGCACAAGAAGTGTTTTTTTTTCTGTCCCTTTAAAGTAAGTTTGTTAAAACAGTGGCATGTATCGCCTTTTGTGTGCAGGTGTGTGCTTTACATGTTAAGAGGAGGACGGCCAGGGGCTGGCTGTGTTTCCAATGAATGGTGCAGTGTTTCCTTTGTGTTATTTATGCAGTACTGCTTAGATGCTATCTCTTTCAGTTAATTCCCTTAAGAAAGGACGATTTTGCACTACGGCAAACCAAGCTTTCTCATCCCCTTGCATCGAAGAATCTGCCCTTTTTTTCTTCCACTGCTCCTGGCTCCTGCTGCTGCTTCTCCACTTTCCCCTTCTTTCATGTACATTTTTGAGGGAGATGGTTTGTACGTTTCGCTGGGATGGGACAGGAGTGGGGGCAGCTTTAAATATAAGGGCACACCTGCTGGCTGCAATTTAAGTTGCTTTTGCGATTAAACCATTTGTTGGTTGCAATTTAGGTGCTTTTGTGGTGCAAAAAATCAGGTGCTGAACTTCAGCCAGCAGAGGTTGCATTTTAGATAAGTGGCATAGATAAGCTCCTTCCTCTCTGTATAATAAGATAATAAGGATTTTCCTGCAGGAGGAGGCATAGGCCTTACCTGAGGCTGTGGTGCCTGCCACTGGGAGCCGGTTCAGTATTATAGAGCAGGGGTGGCCAAGCGGAGGCTCGTGAGCCACATGCGGCTCTTTGAGTTTATCTTGTGGCTCGGTGCCCAGAGGCACCCACTTGCCACTTGCTTCCTGCTGCTGCCCACTTGCAGCTCTCAAACATCTGACATTTACCATATGTGGCTTTTCTTCTGAGCAAGGCTGGGTACCCCTGGTATAGCGCAAGGATGGGCAAATATTGGGAGTGTGAGATCTGCTTTATTTTTATACTGTAACCTGGCATCCTCAGATCGTACAGGTGCAAAATGGGGCGGGCGGGTGGGCAGGCAGTGATGCACTCCATGAGGCGTGCGCAGCATACCTTGTAGTTCCCGCTGTGCCCTGCAGGAAGTGGAAGTGCCGGTCGTGGGAGGCCAGTATGTATATGCAAACACAAACCTACCTTTCAGTTCTTATAGATCTAACACAAGCTCTCAAGTTGGGCAGTAGGAAACCATCAATACTGAGTTTTAGACTTGAGAATACTGACACTAAGCAATACCTGATTAGCAAAACAGCAGCTTTTAAAAACAGACTTTCAGTTTTACCTACTTTTTTAAAAAGTGTAACGAATGAGAAAGTCTTGCCATGCCATTTCCTATCACCCAGAGAATGGCCAGTAGTTCCCAGTCTGGCTTCTGCCTGCCCCAGTGTGGAGTCTGAGACTCTGGTACCCATCAAGTCCCGAGTGCAAATTCTGCCTTGGCTGCCAACTCTCCAGGTGGCCTTTGGCAAGCTGCAGGCTCCCCTCTCACTGTTCAGGTGTGGCACTGGAAATGAGTAGGAATTAAACATCCGGGAACAGGCTGCCAACTCCACTAACAGGTCCTGTGCTCTCACCACAGACTACATTTATTTATTTATTTATTTATTTATTTATCGATTTATATCCTGCCTTTTTCCTACAAAGGGCTCAAGGCAGCTTACATCTCCTCAGCCATCTTATCCCCACAACAACAACCCTGTGAGGTAGGTTGGGCTGAGAGTCTGTGACTGGCCCAAAGTCACCCAGTTGGCTCCATGGCCGAGCGGGGACTAGAACCGAGGTCGCCTGAGTCCCAGTCCCGTGCTCTTAACCACTACACCACCCTGTCCCTCAGAATGTCTTAGGGTTGCTGCAGTGAGCCTCTTTCAAACCTTCTTTATAGCATGTCTCTTCAGCCTGGCTGCCAAGGAAGGCCGGAGTACCTGCCTGCGGTCCTTCACACAGGATCCTGGGCATCTTCTAGGGTTCCCCTTTGGTTCTCCAAGAGCGCCAGCCAGGCGGACTGGACCTCTTTTCTCCCAGCTTGTACTGGAAGTGTATGATCTAAACCAGCAGCAGGCAAGCAGTGCCTTCCAGAAGTCTTGGATCATAAGTGCCATAATCCCCGACCATTGGCCATGCTGGCTGGGGCTGATGGGAGCCGCAGTCCAAAGCAGGGGTCATGGCACTCTTCCCCAAACTTGTAAGTTTTCCTGTGCAACTGTTCATGGAAGGGGACCATGCCATAAAATGGACCAGCTGTTAAGAAGTCCTTGTTAAGCTTTTGAAGTCCCTCAGGATACCAGCCACCTGTCCAGAAGCCTGGGAGAGTTTAAGATGTCTTGTTTCAAGCCATTCACTCATTTCATCTTTTAGCTCTTCCAGTTAACTAGCTGTAAGAATCAAAGAAATGATGCTTCTGTGCTATGTGTAGACTCTCTGCAACTGTTGGAAACACAAAAGTCTCAAAACCGAGGACTTGGCAGAAATGGCTGACTTGGGCACTGAGGATATTTTATTTAAACAATTATCTGGCTAACAAATCTTGCTTGTTTCCTCTGATGATGAGAGCTGTTGTTGGGAGTGAGAAGGTTGGCCGTTTTGGCCAATCATCCTCATGGACTTCTGGCTGCCTCCCAGATGATTCTTCAGCATGGAAAAGTAAGGTAGATTACAGTGTGACTGTGGAGGATGGGCTAGGTCAAGATTCTGAGATGATGGAGGCAGAGGTGATTACCTCAAGGCTGGGAACAATCAAGCTGTACTGCAAGTGGGAGAGGCCTGTGAGGATGAGGAATTCCCAGATCCCCCCCCCCCCAAAAAAAAAACCCTGTGGCCCAGTTGAATGAGCGGCATGTGGAGTGGAGGCATACTCGCCTTCAGAAAGCCCCTCCCGAAGGGATGGAGCCCAGGCATGTTCCTAAAGAGACTTCTTGGAGGTAGACACTAGATTGGGTTGAACAAACCTCTCTGTGCATGCTCAGAGACCCGTTCTGGGTTGTTCGTACTTGGGAGCAAAAAGAAAGTTTGCAAGGGAAATGATCTGTGACTGGTAGTTGCTCGAAGAAGGAACTTCAGCTCCCAACAGTTATATTCTTGTTGCAGTCCATCAACTCCAAGCTTTTTCCTCCCAATATGAACTTTCCCTTTGAATTGTTACTAAGGATGCAAAAATACTTGGCTCTGACTGCCACATACACCTTTTCAAATAATTTAAAATAAACATCTTTAAGTAACTTTACTGCACCTGGTTAATTACGTTTTCTAAGTCCAGCCCCATTTAAACTTCTTGCAGCACAAAATACACTTTCTCTGTTGGCTTTTAAATTAAGATTCCTAAAGTGTTTTTAAGTTGGGTTGCTGCAGTATTAGCTCAGGATTAGTGGGGAGATTATACATCAATGAGAAAAGAACAATGAGAGAGACTAGGAAAGCAAAATTGCTAGGAAGCTTAGTTAATTTCAAGTGAGAGAGTTTTTCACTTTGCGATTCATCGTTATTAGCTTTGTGTTGTTCTTTCTTAACTCTTAGCTTCTCTGTGTAACTTTGCAGCATTTGCCATACTATCAGTTGTAGATTTGATCAAAATGTGAGTGCCCCTCTAGCTAGAAAGACTTGATCATAGGGAAGCTGCCAAAATCAAGAAGGCTTGTTAATGTCTCCCCAGGAACCACCGCTACACAACAAATGCTATACAAAAGGTTAAAGGAAACCAGTTGTGAGGCAAAGGTCTCCAGCTCCAGCCTCCCAAGTCTCCAGCTCCAGCCTGGCCTGCATCCCCAGGGAAGTAATTCCCAATCTTGAGTCCCCCAGTGATGTTGGTACAAAACTCCTGTCATCACCAGCATGGCCAGTGGTGAGGAATGGTCGGGTTTTCAGTTTGACCACATAGGGAGGATCCAAGATTGGGAACCACTATACTAGTTCACACGAGAGCGGCTGCAGAGCAAGGCTGTGATATGCAGAGCAGGTTTCTTTATATACGCATACCATGTTTTAGAGTGATGGTAGAATTCTGACGTATTAGGGCAGTTCACACAACATGACGACCTAGCATGGGTCATTTAAGCTGTAGTGTGGCTGCGGTACTCAGCTGTGTTGTGTGAATCCAGTTGTTTAACACCCTAGAACCCTATGGTTTGCATGGTTTGTGCTTGCCAGATGATATGCATGTTACAACAACCCTCAAGTGAGGTTGCAGATGCAAAGTAGTGCCCATGGACATAATAACCCATGACAGCCAATACCATGTCATGCATACCAAGATTTTCATTGTGACCTCAGCTGGTGTAATTTAGATATGCTGATATTAGAGGAGGGAATGTTAATAGGTGCCTATTTTTATGCAGGATTTGTTTACTATAGAATTGATGGAGTGGAAGATGCCATATTGTTTCATCAGCTGTTCCTCATTGTTTGTCTTCTTACTGCCATGATCCATGTGTAGTGTAGTAATGTAAGGGCTATTCTGTGCATGTTTACTCAGATGTAAGTTCCATCAAGTTAATTGGGACTTACTGCAAGCTAAGTTGATATAGGATTGTAACCTAAGTGATATATCAGGGGTCCAGTCCTTTGGGTTGAAAGGATTATACAAAAGTATTGTATGTGACACTCTTTGAACATTAAAATGTCTACAGGTACTAGTCATCATTATCATTTCCATTTATCTCCTTGGTTCAGCAAATCCATTTTCATGTTATCTTAGTTGAACCTGGAGGGAGATTCATGTTTCCTTTTCTAACATAAGGGGAGTGGTTTTACTTTTATGTTTTCTTTTCTTTTTTTTGAAAAATCGAACACTGTGTTCTAGCGCTGTCAATGTGCTTTTCTATAGCTCATTCACTGCATCGCTTGGTTCATTTATTCTGAATTGCGACACAGCAAATTTCGTATCCTTTCGCTGAGATGTTATCCCTTGTCTTGACAAATGCTGTACTGGCAACATAGAAGTGGAGACCTGTTAGGGCTCTGAGTGTGTACGTGGAGAGGAGCGTGCTAAGAACACTGTTCCTTCCACAACTTGGCGTTCGGTCTGCTGCTCTCAGGTAGTGTTTAGAGAGATGTGTGAAGGAGACTTCTGGTTGTTTTTGTTATGAGTCAGTGAGGCCCAGCCTCCGGCTATGACAATGAGGACTATTGCATATATTTATGGAGTTGCAGAGGAGCAAGGCGGCATGCTAAGCTGCATTTGGAATGCTGCATGAGGACATCCTAAAAGTGGAAGACCAGAAAGACACAGTTCTGTGTTTGGACCAAACTCTTGCCAGCCAGGTCTGCTTACTCATCATGGACAAAACTGGAAGTTCTCTGCCTCATGGCCTGTGAAATGGGGTTGGGTGGATGGGGCAGAGTCACTCGTCCGGCAGTGGAGATGGCTGAGGCGGTGTGGCTACCGTAGCCATGTGGTAGTGTGTGTGTGTGTGTAGGTGCGTGCGTGCGTGCTGGAGTCACAACTGGCATACATGCCACTTTACCACTACCAAGCGCCAGAACAACAGTTCCCCTCCTTCCAGGCTTACCCTGAAGCACCGCCAGGAAGTGATGGACTGCTGCCTGGCTGTGACATGCCTTAGGTCTCATGCGACAGGATAAAAATCTAATAAATACATAAATTCAAACACATAACTACCACACAGCTACCTCCATCAGATCCTGCTGTGAATCTTGCCACTAAAAGCTTCCAGGCCCACGCATTGCATCCATCCGTTTAAAAAGGGAAAAGGACATTGTTTTAAAAGGGCATTGTTTTCAATTTAATAAAAGCTGGCGTAGGGGCGGAGTGCATCCTCAGTGAAATGATAACCAAATTCCTCCTAAATAATGCGATGACTACCTTACTTAATCAGAGGTTATTTTCATTGATAGTTGAAAAGCATTAAAATGCATACCCTGTATATAATTGCACTAAAATTAAAGTTTATTTCTTTCAAGTCAGATCAAACAATTTCATTCTCTTATATAACGCATACAGTCTGTGGAAAGTGAAACGAATGGACAGTCTTTTAAAAGGCACATAAATATGCACACATGTGAAAATAGAAGGATTTCCCTGTCCTTTCTTACAATATTTCTTTGGAGGATCAGAATCCAGTACTTACCAAACAGTATAGTAAGAAGGGCTATTGGCATCACAAACAATCCAACCAGCAAGTCGGCCACTGCCAGGGACATGAGGAAGTAATTGGTGGCATATTGCAACTTCTTCTCCAAGGACACAGCCAGTATGACGAGAATATTCCCTCCGATGGTGGGTATGATGACCGTCAGGATGAGCAGAGCTGCCCAGTGCAGCGTGTTCCCTTCCCCCGAGGCTGGCTGCACAGATCCGTTGCCAGGTCCAGATGCGTTCAAAGGCAAGACCATTTTGGTGCCCAGTAGAACGTGTTCAGAGTTTGTGTGTTACTCAAGCATTTTATGAAGTCTAGGAATTTGATCTTCCTCTCCAGCTCAGTGCGATCCCAATGAAAGATCAGCATTGTAAACTGCTCATCTGCTCCTGCAAGAGGTTCTGCTCTGATCACAAGTTTCCACAAATTTCTGCTTCGGTCATTCCTTGGATACTTTCAAAGGGAACTTAAAAATTAGTGTGTTGATGCGTCCATCAGTAATTATACATCCCAGTGGTTGAGCTGCTGATGAAAGGATACCTACAGAAGAGTAGGTTAGCAAATTAGCCCCTTGGGTCTTCACACACTGGCTCTTCTGTTGAAATAGCTTGTGTCAAAGAGGTCTCCCTAGATAAGAAGAGGAGAAATATATATAGGATGACCTGCTGGAATCATCATCCTGAACATGATGGTTGATTTATATAGGAAAATTTATACCACCCGGCATTTTAGCTGTAGATCCACTGATGGTGCAGCTTTCCTCCCCTACCTTCTTCAATAACTAAGCTATACGAATAATTCCCAATTCATTCTACAGAATTCAGTGTTTCGATAGGATTCCAAACTGCATATTGACGCTACTTCCTCTTACTACATGGGTTGCTTGTTCATGAGGTAGAAGAATAGATAGCATCCAAAGATTCAGGATAAATGTAATGAGGCAAACAGAGTAATCCTGTTTGGCTACTCAATCATAATACTCATTATGGGACTTGCTTCCAGAGAAATGTGTAAAGGATTTCAGACGAACTGTTTGAGGTTTCTTGTTCAAGTGGATGCGAATTCAGAATAATATCTGATTGGAGAAATAGCCTGTGAATACTTGAACAAGGCATTGACCAAATGTTTAAGCTCCTGCAGCATAAGATCTGATAAAAACTTTACCAATCCCATCCTCCTCACAAACAGTCACAAAAAACTTGCCCTTTATTGCCCCGGATTATTTCTGTAGCACTCCCCATTACATAAAATACGTTGCACTCTTTATCATGCATCCTTATAGCAAAAGCTGTCAGCAGTTCAGAGTGACTGATGTCTTACCTGGATTGTATTTTTCTTCTTTCTGGGTTTCAGGAAGATTCCCTTGGTTCTTGAGCTTGGATATTTTTCTTCAGTATGTGTGTGTGCATGTGCGTGCGTGTATTTGATTTGTCGTCCGCTGGAATTCTAGAATGTCTTCCTCGAATTGCATTGCTTTCTTCGAAGGCAGTCGCACACTCTTGTAATTGAATTCTCCAACACAGACGGCTTCGCTTTGTGATTAAGCTCTTGATTTCTTTTCGTTGTCAAGCAGAGGAGGGGTGGAATGGCTTCAGCCGATGCTTCCTTCCCCACTACCCTACTGTCATTTATTTCAGTAATCTTTACGGAGTCCTTCCCTGCCCTTCCTCTACATCTAACCCTCTGTGCCGTTTCCTGTGTGTTTGTTAGATAAACTTACAGTCTGTTGGTATCATCTGTTGATTGACTCATTCCAGCACATCCAGCGCCAGTGTTTAAAAGCCAAGGAACAAACGAGCAGAGATTTTTTTTACATTGGGAAAATAACTATGAAAGGTTATTTTCCACTTTTTGACGGTCCAGTGTTCCAGACCTGAAGCACACAACCCTTGTCCCCAATTCTAAATGGATTGATCCAGCAAGCAACCTTTCTTCTCGTGCCATTCGCTGTTCTTTTCAGAGAGCACTCAAATGTTTCCAAACATAAGGTGCTTCTCAGTCGTAGCAGAAGCATTTAATGCCTTCCATAAAACTAGGGGAAGTACCTCTGTGTGCCATCCAGCTCCTCGGCTTTATCTGTAACCTGTGCAGCACTTAAAGTATCTAAGGGGATAAAATGTTGTTATTTTATGGGCCTCCCTTGCAGTCCTGGTCAGGTGGTCTTAGTTTTACAGCTGAGAAACTGAGTCCAAGATGGTCACATCCTCAGAACTCTTGGTGAGTTTGTGACCTTAATCCAAAGCCGAAATCTAGCGTGCTATGTGTTTTGCTTGAGCCCCAATCCTAGACACATTGTTGGAATGTAGGTAAAGCAAGATTTTTAGGACTCTTCAAACGGAGGCTATTATTATAGCCTGCTGTTGTTGTTGTTGTTGTTGTGTTTCAGGGGGGTTATGCAGCATTGCTCTGTGTCAACACAGCTAAGGTTAGAATGTCAGTTTGGGCTGAATTGCAGTTTTTTTGTCCTGGCTCTAGAGGTCGTGCTACAAAATGAATGGGAATGGGGTTTGCTTTACTGCAGTGGTCCCCACATTCGGACTCCCAAATCGTGGGCTTGGAATGTGTCCATCGCACCTGTAGTGGACCTTTGTGATGGCCCAGTGGCAATATTGGAAGAAGTTAGAGTAGCACAGTGGGTCACAGGGAGCTTGCGGGGTTCCCCGCAGGGTTATATGGAGATTGGCCATGGGCTTAGATGGCTTTAAAGGGGGACTCACACGTGAGGAGTCCGGTCCGTAGCGCTTGACAGAGAGGCTCTGCCGAACTGGGATGTCCAGAGGCAGTGCCTTTCTCTGATGAAGGGCAGACTAGGGAGGAGAGGCGCCTCCTTCCTGTGCGGCATCCAGGTGGCCATCATACGAAACAGAATGCTGGATCCAGAGGGGCTTTTATTCCTTTGCCATGGGCGTTAATGCTAGAGAGTGCCTCCTGTGAGGTAAAGTAACCATTTAGGAGACCTTTAGGAATGTGCTTGGGATCATCCGGCCAAGGGGAGGGGACTGCAGTATGTTGAACCAATGCAATGAGGTGGGATGAGAAAGAAACCAGAATAAAGATGACGGGGAATGTTGCTCAGTCAGTATTCTTAGGCCAAACAGCCTAATTTGCATTTCCCTGTGGATCAGAGCACAGTTATTCTTTGGATTGTTCATTTCCCCAAGTTTCTCAATTGCATTCTTGACTCAAATCTTACTCAAAAATGCGCATACTGGAGAAGTCAAATAGAAAAATGCAAATATTATGGAAAGTTGCATACAAATGCATATATTAAGGAAAATGCATGCACAAATGGGTTTCTTTCACAAGAAATTCCATATAGTTTCAACACAGACACTGATGAAATTGAGATCAATAGGTAGGTGCTTACGAAAACAGTGTCTGTATTACTACTGTAGTCCCTGCTAGATCGTTCCGAACTTCTGGGGGGCATGATCTGTTAACTTAGAATCAACTGTCTTTCTGTTCCATCCATGAAACTTTGTGTAAGATTTTGTTGTTTGCACACCCTTAGACCAGAACATCTGTTTCATTAAAGTAGACCGTATTGTATTGTTTTAAAGTCATCCTTTAAAAATGGGAAGAAAAAGATCTGCTTTAATCTCCCATAACATAGCTGCCCCCTTCCTCCCCTTCCTTCCCCTCCCCTCGTTTTGGTGATTTGAATTGGTAGAAAGTTGATTAGCTTGATCATACAGTCAAACATGGAATTGAAAGTCCTTCTGACGCACAGAGGCACTTCAAGCAGAAAATAAAAATGGTGCCCCCCATGGTGGCAAAAATACAATAAAGAAGCTAGCAATTTTCTGCTTTTCGATTGTATAACCTCGCAAAACTGCCCATCAGCAGAGTGGTTCTGTCTTGAGAATTATATCTGTCAGTCTAGTCTGAACAGAAACCAGAGATATGGTGAGTCATGCGTTAGTTAATGTTTTAAAAAAATATAGGAACAGTTACTTGTTCTAGAAAGTGGATGTGATATAGTTAGACAAGGCTGTACTTCCAGTTGTTTTAGGCTCCGGCACCCATCAACCCAACCAGCATCCCCAGTGGTTGGGGATTATGGGAGCTGTAGTCCAGAGAGCACCATGCTGCCCACTTCTGCAGTAGGTGCTGATGCTTTCCTCTCCCAGATTTTTACTTGTCTGCGGCGCAGCCTAGGCCATGCCCCCAAATCCCCTGCAGTGCATTCCAGTTGTTCGTAGGATCTCAGAAGGGTGGCTTCTACTTAGAGCACATGCTGTCTAGCTCAGTATCGTGTTCCCTGAGTGGCAGCAGCTCACCAGGGTTTCGGGCAGGACCTGGCAGCTGCGGGTTTTTGAGGCTGAAAAAAGGGACAATGCTTTCTGGAAAATGGCTCTCTCTCGAAGCTACTGGTCTTCTGAATTGAACAAGCAAGCTTGCACATCTCAAGAGTCCAGCTCAGCAAACCATGGCAAATACCCCTTGCGCCACCTGACAGATAATCAAGAACTCTGTGGGTTGTTTGCACCCTCCCTCTACTTCCTTCCCCTCAGTCCGCTCATGGGCAGTGGATGTTTTATGTTCGTATCAAAAGAACACTCACTGCCCTGTCAAAACTCCATTTTAGAGCGAATTCTCCTTTGGCAGCTAGTTGTCCAGCTCCCTTTCCCCTAAACGAGGATGGGGTGCGCTTTTGCACTTCCCTGTGCACCTGGAGTCTCGGGGGAAAGCGCAAAATGCTCTTCGCTCTGGGGACAGTCAGGGCAAAAAGGAAGAAAGTTAGGATTTTGCTGCAAAAGGGATATAGATGTTCCTACCCCCTTTTTGTGAACAAACATCCTTGATGCCATCACTCTTCCTGCCGTCGGATGGCTATCAAGAAAAACAGAGTAACGAAAACCCTTCTTCGGAGTGTGTTTGGGTCAGCGGTCAGGGTTCCTACAGAAGTGCATCCCTCTGCAGTCACACTGGCACAGCTTGCTTTTTTTTTTTTTTTTTTTTTTAAAAAAAGAGGTATACTTTTTGTGGGTTCCAAAAAAAAAAAAAAAAAAAAGCGTCTTAATCACTGGCAGCTCCCTCAGTACGTCACTTGGGAATTTGAAAGGGGCTGCTGTTGGCTGCCAAATTGAGGTTTGCAACGTCCAGGGGAAAAATGGTTAAAGGGGAACAAAAAAGCTGCAGCAAGTGAAGGGACTCGTAATCATGGCAGGGGACACCCAGTCGTGGGGGGCTAGTTGTTCTGGCAAGAGGGGTGAGAAAGTTGCCAGCCAGCCCCCCACTCGCCCCCCAGCGCCCGTGATGGAGTCACTCTCCCAGGTTCAGACAACTGACAGTCCTTGCAGGCCCCAGGCCCCGAGAACATGCCTTGGGTTGTCACAGTGGTTTGTTGCCCATGCATAAGCCGCTCTGCGGGAACCAGCCTGTGTTCACACAACATGACAACCCATCCTGGCTTGGTACCCGTGATGGGTTGCCATGCTGCACAAACTGCAGTTAATAGAAATTTAGTGAAAATACTGTTCTTAGAAACAGGTAGACAAATAGTAACAACTGCATTTGGATGCCTTCTACCATCCTTGCACAGATTATCATCATCAGAGAGGAAGAGCTGGGATAAAACGGTTGGCCCTGTGTCTTCCCCTGCATCTCCCTCATCTGCAGTATCCCTGTCCACATGCTGGAAATGCAAGCATTGGTGGCCAGGGACTCCCTGCAGAATTTAGAATCCTGTAAAATCAGGATTCCGACTTGCTGGACAATTCCATGAGTAAAGATGGCTTCCTCCTGCAGAAGCTCATTTCCCTATCCCACAACGAGCAGGAGGGGTGGTCACAGTGGCGTGACTGAGGGAGATAAGCTGTGTGATGGGTAGAATTCCCCAAAACGGCTTGTCACCGTTGGGAGATGCACAACCTCTGTGCCTTGTATTTGGAATCTTACGTGCTCTGACCAAACCCTCGGTATCTCGCTGGTTAGAAGCCGCTAATGTTGAAACATCTACAACATTTTGCAAAACAGTATTGTAGCAATACATACTTAGGTTTGGCAGGAGGAAATTAGTCTTTCCTTCTCTGAGGAGTTTTGCATTCATCCGGTGGCTTTCAGTGAAGGCACTGGGTTTGGAAGTCTCCATTCCCTGCCCTCTGTTTCTGAGGTGTAACTATTTTTGGTGCTTCTGTACAGCAGGGTGGTGCAAAATAGATGGCTGGCTGGAGTGAAAATTAAACTTGTGCATCATGCTGGAAGGTCTGCGGTTGCCTCCTGCACATTGGGATTGTCTTGTGTGTGTTGTCACTGCAGGGCATGTGGGCATTAGTTGCCTTTGCACCCTGCTGAAGCGTTAGCGCTACATTTTCAGAAGCAACTTCGTGGTCATCTTTATTGCATCTGCTGACATGGACTGCAGTTCACGAAAGCTGATCTCATAATAGAACTATTATGCCTATTTAGGACTACTGGTGCGGTTTATAAATTCCCAACATTAATAAATAATTGCTGCTGCAGCCTGTAAGACACTCTCTTGAGCTTGTGAAGACCTTAATAAATTGCAGAAAAAAGATGGTGGAAGTTGGCTTGGGAAATATCAGAAGGGCATATGTATAATGTATGTATAGATGCCAAGTAGTTTTAGGTGGAAAGCACTTTTCTAAATAAAAGTAAAATTCGTAAGAAAATGACTAAGGTTATACAATGTGGTGGTAATGATGTGAAGTCATTGCTACCACATTGCTCAAACTTAGTCATTTTCTTTAAGAAATGTGGCAAGGGGATATGGATTTGTGGTCAGCCGGGGCTGGAGGGCTGCTGTTAAAAGATTCCTCAGCCATTTGTCAAGAAGGGAAAAAGAGTTGAGCTGGGGGACAAACTAAAAGGCAGGAAAGGTGCCTCATCGTGGCACGCAACTAGCCACTTGTGTTGGTGGGCTTGAAACCACACTGCAGAAGACTTAACAACACTGGGTTGGCTGCAAATCTCAGCAGATGTTCTGGAGTGAGCGTCATTTTTTTGCAAGCCTATAAACCAGGTTTAAGGAAAGTGTTGATTTTAGTGTTTGTCCTTAAAATGATCATCTTCTTTCTTCTGTCACCTGTTTTTAGATACTAACCTTTATGATCCATTTTCCCCTCCTGTAAGCAGTTTTACATTAAGGCCACTCATTCATTATAGGATGTGGCTGCATAAATAGTTAACATTGGAAATGGGTGTCAAAAACTTTAAAAACTTGGGTGACCTGCCTTGAAGAACTTGCGGACATGTTATAGCTTGATATTAATCTCAGTACATAAAATGTGTTTTTAAACCCTTCTGTTTTAAAGGTATTTTTCTTAAAGGCTTGCTCAGAAAAGCCTTTTTTCCTAGTAGCTTGATTAATACAAACAGATTCTGAGCTTAATGTGTATTGCAGTTCCTTCTTTGGACTCCCCGCGAGTTTTACAAAGTATTTTCCTCTTTACTTACCAAATGGCATGTTGAATAATTTAATAATAATAGTTGAATAAGCTATTGATGTACCGTCCTGAAAAAACGCTTCTGAATGAAAGTTTAGGTTCACGTCAAGGTTTTGTCACTCCCCATCTTCACAGCAGCGCACTTTTTGCCAACTTCTGAGCTGTTGTTTGAGAGTGAAGTAACAAATCTTTATGTGCGAGACAGTTTATAGCCTTGCTCAAACCTATTGCTAGCTTTCGCAAGAGGCCTAGTACAGCTTGCCTTAACAATGACCCTCAATTTTCACCCTGTTATTTACATTACAAGTGAGAGTTGCCTCTGAAAGACCACAGTGAAACCCACGGCTCTGTTCAACAGAAATAAATGTTGGTTCCATTTCCTTTGGTTGCAAGACTTTGCTCTGTCCATTCCAACGCTAAAAGTCTTTACTGAACTGTAAATGTAATTACTCTGTTTATTTCCTCTTTAGGACACCTGAACAATGTCCAAGTGTAGTTTCCTTGTTGTCAGAAAGTTATAACCCCCATGTCCGCTATGGGGCAGCCATGGCCCTAGGCATCTGCTGTGCTGGGACAGGAAACAAGGTAAGGTCAAAAGAAACCAGTCTTGCTGCTCTTCCTCTTCTGCTCAGGTTCTGGAATTGAAGAATGTCGGGTTGCAACAAGCTTCACAAGGACCACCGTGTCCCGTGAGAGCAGCTTGCAAGGTCCTGCTCAGTGAACATCAGTTCTCCGCTTTTGAACGTTCTTAAGGAAGCTCTACATTTTAATGGAAGTTTAAGACTTAGATTAAGAAAGCAGAGAAATAGGGCAAGCAACTAATTTAAATACACCTTAGCTAGTTAAAAAATGCATATGGGTAAAAATTAGTTTTAAAGAAAGGAACGTCCTTTGTTTTTAGTTAATTTAGTTAGTTTAGCCTTTGTTGCCCTGGGCATCACTTGAGTAAAAGCATTTCATCTAATATAAGATAAAAGTACTTAAGGTGATGCTTGCCCCCTCTAATGTGTTAGCACTTGTATTAGAAATACATTTTTAATTGCTCAATTAAATCAAGACACATTTTAGTAGATGAAAAGGGTTGAGAAAGCAATAAATCTAACAAATTGATTCATCAGACATTGGAAGCATACAGAAAACATACGGTGGGTGAGACTCTTAAAGTAATTATTTCGATAAGAAGATGTGCATCTGTCTTTCATTACTATAACACCCAAACCATGGCATTTAGACACCTCGAACAAGGCATTTATAATAAGGGAACCATAGGGACATACACGTTGACATTGGGGGTTTTTTAAGCAGTATTGGTTAATTTGATTAAACAACTCTGTATGTTTAAATATTTATTTTTCGGTTTATATCCTGCCTTTTTCCTACAAAGGGCTCAAGGCAGCTTACATCTCCTCCTCCATCTTATCCCCACAACAACCACCCTGTGGGGTAGGTTGGGCTGAGAGTCTGGGACTGGCCCAAAGCCACCCAGTTGGCTCCATGGCTGAGCGGGGACTAGAACCCAGATCGTCTGAGTCCCAGTCCCACGCTCTTAACCACGACGCCACACTGGCTCTCAGTGCTACCATCAGTCACAACGCGGCAGACTTGCCCGACCCGTCCATAGCATTGCAGTCACTCCCGTTTGAAGCTAGGGGAGACGGGTAAACCAAGGGACATGGCTTTGAGGGCAGACCCCTCTCTCAGGGTGCTCTAGAAGTATGCCGTGGCGGGCGCTGTACCATAGTGCCAGCAGGGGCGGCTTCATTCAGATGGTGCAGCTGCAGCAAGTCCAACTCTGACAGTGCTGTAAACTTGCTCAAAGGACTTGCAGAATCAATGTAGCTCCTTTCCTGGCCCTTGTAAACTCAGGCTTGTTTAGCAGTAACCAACACTTATGCCCTGCAGTTCTATTCATGCCTGCTCAGAAAGAAGAACTGTTTTGCTTGCTTGCTTGCTTGTTATATTTATATCCCACTTTTCTCCCATTGTGACACCAAGACAGCTGGTCATGGTTCCCAGCTGGTCTCCGCTCCAAGCTCAGGCCAGCCCCAGACCTGCTTAGCATTTATTTATTTATTTATTAAAACATTTCTATGCCGCCCC